TGGTAGAAAGACAGATGTGATGGAAACTCTTCGAGTAAGTTACTGCAATGATAGTATGAAGCAGACTAATAGAGAAAATGCACAGCTTATAAGATCATATCTGCTATTTATTAGAGGACTTGTCTAGAGATACAGAAATGTGTGATTCCTATGAATAAAATTTGGTTTCAGAAACTTGCCAGGGTAATGGTTACCAGAACACTAGCTATCCTGCAGAAATGCTTAAGAAAGGTATGTATTCTCATTATAACATACAATTTAGTGCAAGCTTTCAAATAAAAACATTCTTTAAAATATATTATAAACAATGTATGTGGGTTTCAAATTTATATGTGGAATTCCACTATAAAGAGTTTGTCAGACCTGGGAAGGACTCCTCTAGGTTTTATCAGCTATATTCCAGAACATGTCTCTGACTTTCCCCTATGCTTTCTGAATCAGCATCAGTTCTGTTTTTTCTCATGTAATAATTTAACTGTGATACAATCTATTAATTTAGTCTTTAGGATGGAGGTGCACAAGTAAGCTACCAGTGTAGCCTGCAGTGAACATAGAATAACCTGCTGTTAGCAACCTACAGGTGAGAGTGTGCTTTGAAGCAGTACATCCATGAAAGAGGAACTTGGTGCTTCTTAAACAAAATTCACCATGGATACAGTTTTGGCAGATAAAATAACATACATGTGCTGTTTGGAATGAAAGTTTTCAGGTTTTGGTTGCATTAGGAATAGTCTACTCCATGGTAATTTCCTTGTTTACACGAACATTTAGTGGTTATAGAATACAGGCAGCAGTAAAATGTACAATAACCAGAAAGATTTTGGTGAGATCCCTGCAGGACCACAGGGCAGCAAAAGGAGAAAGAGCACATTTAAAAGAAGTGGTGATGCTGACTGTTCACATGTATGGTTAATATAAGCTTGTCTCTTATTTTCTTCTGGGATTAAGTAACAATGCGAAGCAAGAAGGGTATTAAGTATATCAGAGAGGCAAAAAGACAACTGCAGAAGTTTGGAAGGGGAGAAAGGGAAAGTAGGCAGGATCTCATAGTACTAGAGTGTAGTCTAGTGTATAACCAGAGGAAGCTGGAGTTTTTTAGATACAGTACCCTTGCAAATGGTATGCTTCAGACCTGTGGTTCGTAGACTCTGGTCTGCAGACATCTTGTCTTGTGGCAAGTTCTCCACAGTCATTTCCGGCTTTCAGTCAGGAGCTTGAGAGTGTGCAATGGCTCTTCAGTAATTCTGAGGTTTGACACTAGTTTAAAGGGTTTGTTTGTTCTTTTGCACATGATTAGTAGGAGACTAAGGAGTGTTGCTAAGGGCTTTGACAAGATACAGGGTTTTGGGGGCAGGGTGTGATTGGAAGGCAAGGAATAAGGTTGTGAAATCTGTTCTGCTAAAAGAAAGAAACCTTCTGGACAAAAAAAATAAAAAACCTATTGAGTTGCAGTCTTGTCCTGGTTTTTGCATTCTAGCATTTTATCCACACATGCGTGAAGAAGGTACCTGTAATGGCGCCTGGTATTTTTTAAGCAAAATTTGGGTACAACATCCAGTTCTTACCATCACTAGTTCTGCTTGCGAGCTCTGGGGGTTTTAGACAAAAGCAGTCCTGACACAACTGATTTGTCTGCACTGCTCATTTATTTTCTCACAGGACACAGTGGTTAAACCACTTTGTTGTTCATAATTTTACAGTGATGTAGAAATGTTTGCCCTAGGAGCTGAGCCATAACCTCATAAGGTGGGAGAGGATTGTATAATAGCACCATGACAAAGCAGTTCAGGACTGCAGGATGTTGGAGTGGTTCCCCACAGTAAACGATTTGTTTTTAAATCATTGCAACAGCCATATGCTCTAGAAATTTCCATCCTTTTGAGCGTATTCTTTTTCTGGAAGGAGGGGAGCAGTAGAAGAGAAACCAAGTTCATGTATTTCCAGTTATTTTCAAAATTACCAATTAGAAGTTTGTCAGTCAGTATTCCAGTCCTAGGAGAAAGCTTTTCATTTCCGTGTTTGATGCAGAGAGAAATAGAAAAATATTACAATGCTGTATTACATATTTTATTTACAACACTGCTTGTTGGAATTTTAATGTTGGAAAAGAATTTTTAGTGGTATCCATCAGGAAGTAAACTGGTTTTCTTCCATCTCTTGGTTTTTGCCTAGTTACAATGATACATGTGTAAATTAGCTCCTGTAGTGAAATCACAGTACTGATTTTGGTGTTTTCTTGCCAAGACATATATATCACAAACATGCACTCTTAGGGTTACAGCAGAAGGGAGAACATAGAAAATGACCTCCTAGGTGAGCTAATGGGTATGATTGTCATCATCAGGATACTGCAGAAATTGTTTTGGGTTAAAATGTTCAAAGGGCTGTAATGGAGCTGAGCAGCTAAATCGTATTTAGTAACTAAGAGGAAATTTGGAACTTGGCTTCCTCTTCCTTTGAAAACTCCAGCCTTGATTGCTGTAAAATTAGCTGAAGATGAAAAGCCCAAATACTGAGAATTGCAGCATATTTTAGATCACAACCATCCTGCTGCTGAGAGAGCATCACGAACTAGAAGTTTGCTCAAGGTCTTGTCCAGTCACATTTTCAGTGTCTGGATGTCCTTCAGTGCAAGGATGGCAGCCTCTTGGCAGCCTGTTGTGGTGTTTGATCAGCCTTCTTAGGATAATTTTCCTGATTTTCTGAAATTCTGTTCCAATTTGCATCCATTGTCTCATGTCCTGTCCCCTCCAGGAAGAGTGAGGCTTCATCTTCTCTATTTCCTGCTATCAAGTCATTAAAGAAGCCTCCTGTTTTTTCAGGCTAAACCAACCCAGTTTTCTCAGCCTCTTGTCGTACCTCCTGCCATGTATTAATAGTAGGTTTTTCTACTTGAAGTGACAGAAATATGCAACCTCTTCAATTCCACTTCAGGATTTTCTGTGAGGGATACTGTGCTTTAAATGTTTATATTTTTATATCCTTCTCTTCCTGAATGAGTGTTAACATAGTTTTTTCATGCAGGATAATAAAATGTACTGCCTCTGTCTGAGAAGAGCTACTTTTTCTCTCAGAAAAGTTAATGTGCTATACTAACATTCTGCTGAACTTCTGCTTTTTGACAGATTTTTCTTTCCATATACACACTAAAAGTTGTGTAAGGAGTTATTACTTATTATCAAACCCCAAAATATCCAAAGAAATATGAAATCATTTAAGGTCAGTAGCTCTCATTGCAAAGAAGACATTGTTAAAGAGCCAACCTTAAATATAATAAAATAATAAATATGGAAAAAGCACCTTTATAATAGACTGGCTGTTTAAGTATTAATGCAGCATGCTTCAAGTAGTGATTTATGAATGATGAGTCAGACTTGGAATTCAAAACTTGTTTGACAAAAAGAGCAAACAATATAAAGATTTTGCATGATTAAATTGCTTATTGCTTAAGCTCAATTCATTGTTAGCTTTGTTAAATTAATCCAAGAATAAAATCAAATCCAGATTCAAACCCTGGACCTTCCCTGTAATAATCTGAGTACAGTCAAGTTGAATCTGCATTCTCTAGCCTCAAGGTACTCATTAAAATTAGTTTTCAGTGAGAAACCATGCAGTTATGAAGGGATTGAATCAACAGCTGGCATTTTTACAGTGAGCTTTGAGCTTTCATTTAAGGCATTTAATTTTAGTGCATTGCTGATGATTTAATATGTCTAGCTGTGCATAATTTACTATGTATCATATCTAACATAGGTCTGGCTAGCCTTTTTATTTTTTTGGAATACAAGGATTTCACAAAGCTCAAAATGGGGCTTTGTCTACCTAATGAGCTGGGAAGAGAAATGCTGTCACTCCATTTAGGGTCTGTTCTAGGTGTGAGTGCCCAAGGACAGTGTCACCCAGATAACTTGGAAGTGAAGTATCCAGTGCAGGGCTGGCAGCTCACTTTGCAAGACCCTCAACCCAGCTATTTCATAGTCCTCTCTAGGCTACTCCTAGAGTGTCATTGCTGCCTGAATGGTCTTTGTGATCCATTCTGGGAAGGTGGGACATTTTGCCCAGGCGGATTTCTTTCCTTGTTTGTGTGCATGTGTTTGTAGGCGCTTAGGGACCTCATTTCAGGGTAGTATATTAAAAGGGTTTTGTCTCACACTGTCCTTTGCACACACAATCATGTAGTATGTTTTAATGTTCATTGCAATTCCTTATCTGGAATGGTAATGTTAAGGGAAGGTATTCCATTTATTCTTCCACAATTTATTTTGTATCTTGTGTTTTTTAAAATCATGCATCCTCCAGAACTTAAAATTTCCTGAAAAGCTGAAGAAAAGCTGGGAAACTTGTTTTGTATTTTGTTAATTCTTTGCTTGGCTGTGTGCAGTTTTTGATTTTATAGATTTTTGTTATGGCACCTTTTCTTCCAAAGGCACATGTATTAACTTTTTAACTTCCTCACAGGAAGGCTTTTCTATAAGTATCATTTTTCTGACCAACCTCAGAATTTTCCTACTCTTAGGTATATCAGTTGAAAACTGATTTGCATGTTGAAACTGGATGGATTACTTCACTAATAGCCTACTTTTAGCTTGTTTACTTTTTTTTAACCTGACATAGGGACATCAAACTGATGTTTTCACCAAATTTTTCTCCAGATTGGTGTTTGAACCTTAATTGCAAAGGTCTATAAGAATAAATTAGTTTCTTTGTATGCACATGAACACTACAACTTTTAGGAGGTGCAAGTCAGATGAGCCACTTACTTGCAGAACTAATTTAACCTCAAAGTGAAGCAATTGGAATATGTCTCCCAAGTTTTGCCAGACCTTTACAGTAATACCTAATGATTTCTCTACAGTAGTACCTAGTGACACTGTTTATGTGGTTTATTTTTTTCCATATATGGATTTTGCATATGCAGGATAGCATAAATGCCTTATTCCCTTTAGTCCCTATGAGCACATTAGAAAGTAGACTGATATTATTCTTTTTATTTTTAATAGACTCAGAACCGTATGAAGCTGATGGCTGACAACTATGAGGATGACCACCTCAAATCCTCATCCCGTTCCAACCAAACCAACCACAAACCCTCCCCTGACCAGGTAATGTGTGTCTCTTTTTGGTTTTTAAGTAATTTTTACTAGGAGAGCTGATTATTTTGAGTCATATGTAATTTTCCCTGACATGCTTGCAGTACCCTGGAACAAAAACAGCATTCCAGAGTGCAGTTATAAACCAGAAATGGATGTTACTGTTGTGTCAATTTCACTGAAAACTCCTGAAATGTGAACAAACAGTTCCTAGTACCAAGCTGTTATTAAGTGGGTTGAGATGAACAGACAATGAAAAAGGAGGAAAGAAATGTTACTCTCTTAAAGTGCAAGACAGAAGTCCTGTCTCAAATATTCAGATTTTAGTAACTCAGGTTTACTGCTTGAGTGTGTGGAGTGTCCAGGACTGTTTCTTGTCTTCAGTAGCAGGAAATCATGCTCCAGGATCAGCTTTCTGATCTATGGATTGCATATGAGCAGTTCCCTTCATTTCCCATGAGGAAATCCTGGCCTCTGTGCCAAATGAGCACAGACTGCTCCCTCACAAACTCAGTGGGCCGTGAACTGAAGGAAAATCAATTTACCATCTCCAAGGCAGTGAGGAGCCTCCTGTGTCATTTACAAAGCACAGCCATGTGCTTGATAACTATCAGAGAGATTACCTATCCCGTGGGTAACACAGAAAATGCCAGCCCAATTGCATATCCCATGTTGTAATCTCATCCATTCCAGTTTAATTAAAATATTAGTGATCATTAATCACTGCCTTGACAAAGTGAAGGAATGTTTGGTTCTCCTCTGCCCTCTGGCTTATCTAGAAATTGTTGAGATCTGAGGCAAGGCATCTCACTCTAGACCTTTAAGCACCAACTTAGTGATAGCAGAAATTACGAGTAACATTAAAGGAAAATGGCAAAAAATAATTACGTACTCACCTTACAAAAATAGATCTTTAGAAATCTCATCATGTCTGTCAAAAGACAGTAAGGGGTATATACAAAGAAATGAACAGAAAATTTCTCTTTTCAAAGTGATTTCCTTTTGCATCTTGTTTTAGTACCCTTCTCCACTGTAAATTGACTGGCTTGAATTTTCTGCAGTGCTTTTTGAAAATGTTGGGCTTACGTTCTTCAGGAGAGTGCAGTTGTTAATACTGCAAATTAAATGGCTTTCCTAATCTTAATTTGGTCAAAATGTTAGAATAGCTATTGTTTCTACATTGCAAATCTATAGAGAAATTAAGCCATTTCTAGAATGTAAGTGCAGTAAATACTTGCAAACGCATGCAGCATAGCATGCTTGGATGAAATGAAAATAAAAATAGAATGAAATTAAAAGATAAAATGTCAAGAAAAGATGACATTTAAACATTTAAGGAAATTCTTGCAATGACCTTGCTGGGGAAAGTGATAGGAAGGAGGGTGTGGGAGGAGGGCCCGATTGCACTTTGCCTTTGCAAAGGAGCATTTTAAAAGCTGACAAAACCTACCGGAGAGCAAAGAAAGCTGTATCTCAAGGTGGCTCAGAATATTACATAAGGAATTAAACACTTTGTACTACTATTTATACTTACATATGTGCTTTAAATACTAACCGACTCTTTATTTCATTCCCATGCTGCTCTGGGGCTTTTCTCTCATTGCCACCTCTGCACCCCTAGGATGAGGAGGAGGGTATTTGGGCATAACCAGTCAGATGCTCTTAGTTCAGCCATTTTGTTCAGAACGGTGAGAATCAACTTTTCTTGCCAATAGAAAAGTTTCCAGCAGTCGCTCTCACATCCTACTCCTGTGTGCTTTGTGAAACCTGGTTGTGCTCCTTCCCCCTTGCTCGTGTAGGCTCTGCATGAGCTTGTTTCTCGTGTGTTTATGTGTAGTTTGCAATTTTCTTCTTCTCATCATCGTGTCATTCTTTCATGATGTTATGGGGAGAACTTTCCAGGGCATGTAATTGGGTTTCTATGCAAAGCAGACTCTTAATGTGTACGAGAGAACAGGAAATGTCTCTCATATCATTTATCATTGGCTTCATGGAGGAAATGTTTTCAGTCAGATTCTTTTTCAAAGCAGTTTGCACTGTAGCCAAATCTGTGTATGCTTTTTCGATTCTGGTTAGTAAAGAATTTGCTCAAAGATAATGTTTCTCCTGAAGATAATGTTCCTCCTGAAGGTTTTAAGCATGTTGAGATCTGCTGCCAAGATTGCTGCCATGCATGCTGACCTAACCAGTCACAAACACTTATCAACTCAGAATAGATGACTCTTGATATAGACTGTAACTTTTCTGTAAATTTGAAGACAAAGGGGAATATCCTCTTAACCTTCCCCTCTCCCTTCCATCTCCCTTGCTCTTTTAAAACAAACGGGGAGAAATTGGTAGGTATTTGTCATTTAAAGTACATTTTGTTTCTCTTTTCTGTTGTCAAATTGTCCCCACAATAACCCCCATTTCCAGAAGAGAGGGCAGCACACAAGACAGAGCCCTTTTCCTCGGGCCTGTTCTATTCTTGATATATAGCTACAAAAATAAAACATCAATTATCATGCTACAGTACCTAGGATTCATTTATGCATTGTATTATCAGTCTAAAAGCACAATATTTTTATTTGAATTACTTAATGTATTTTAAGGAATTGAGATGAGATGACCCTATTTTAAAAATTTATGTGAAACTTTTTCTTTCTTCACTTTTAAAGAAAAATATTTCACATGAGTTTTTTCACAGTTTTTCTCAGAATTTGTTTTTTCTGCATCAATTATTTGAAAGAAAGCACTTCTGAAAAATTCTGTGGAAATTTTGGACCCTTGAATTTCTGAAATTACTTTATATTACATTTGTAAAACATTCATGAAAGAATAAGCTGCTCTCTCATCTCTTTGCACTTGCTCAATTAACTGCAGACTTACATGTCTGACTGTATAGATCAAATCCCTCTTTTCAAGTCAACCATCTGAAAAAATTAATCCAACTGTGGCAACGTTAAACTTGAATTTCATGCCTTGGGGTTTGAACTGAGAAAATCTCTTTAGTGGAAAAATTGATAAAGTGCTTCATTAATTTACACTCGCTGTTGATTTCACGTTCTTCTTGGATCACCACTCTTGCAATGGTTGTGTGTTAGTGTATGATGTTAGAAGTTTTAGAGAGAAACGATTGTAAAGATCTGCTGAAGCACAACAATTAAACATGAAAGATCAGGTAAGTAAATGATGAAAAGGAAGAGGACACTCACTGTGAAGGTAGGAATAATTCTGATTTTCATTCTAGAGAAAACATGGAGGTTGTGTAGAAAACACTGATACAAAGATCTTTCTCTTTTCCTTTCTCATCTGCTGATACACTTATGAGTACAACTGTGCTAAGAGTATGGTTTCTCTTAGATTACTGAATTAATGGGCTGTTCACATTAAATACAGCATCTCTCTCCACTTTGTACTTGAGGCATTTTCCTCAGAAAAATGTGTTACAGCATATCCTAGTCAAAATAATGAGGCAGTCAGCATCCTTGCATTACATGGATCCCATCCAAGAATCATGTTAGCCTCAAGACCGTCTTGCTTACATCAACAAGGAAAGTTAAAGGTGGTTGATGACTCCCAAGCCAGTTATTCCAAAAAAAGTACATGTTTTTACCGTGGTTATTCCATGTACATTCAAAAGAAAAAACAAAAAACAAAACACCACCCCCCCCCAAACAGGTCCTTACTCTCTTTGTAAATGCAAAGAAGCTGTAAGTCACGGTTTTAACCTGCATGTATTAAATTAAATGTATATATTGCAATGATAAAAAATTGACTAATAGCATAGGACCTGGTGATAACTGTGTGTTTTAAAGTTGCTGTAGGTCTGAGTAGGTCAGTACTGAAGATAAACTAGACACCATCAGAATATCTACAGTAGCAGACTGTTATTTTTTCTTTATGTTTTGCGGTTTAAGGGTTTTCACCTCCAGCATTCTGGAACTGACTGGATTTAATATTTAATTGCACCAGCTCCGTACATGACAGCATTATCAGATATAACTCCCCTGAAATGGAGCACTGTTTCTAAACATACGCGCCCTTCCTGTAGTTTCAGAAAATGGTAGTTTGCATTTCAGTTTACAGTTCAATGTAAATACCATCTTTCATCCTCAAACAGTCTCTCCTAGCCTTTTATTCTAGGCTCTTTTTCTTGCTGTCTGAATTTCGTATGACTCCTTTTATTCCCCAGATGGAGCTCTATCCTCCTTTATATCCAGTCATATTCCAATGTGTTTTCTTATTAGAATGCCCCTTTGTCTTTCTCAAATGCCAAAGTGGTCTGCCCAATGGCTTAATCAGTTATTATCCACTTTTATCAAAAATAATATGAATTTGCACTTTATGAGTTTTAGTGCATACGAAAGGATATGTGTGGTCGCACATTTACCTTCTTGTAAATATGTACCATGTATTCGCTATGTCAGGTAAAGAAGCAAAGCTTCCATACATGAACTTCCCAAGCTGCTCACTTCAACTGGTTTCCTTGTGAGGAAGTGTGAGTAGTTCAGCAATCTGTTCCACCTCTGCCCATAAGAAATGAGGAGGACTGCTTTCGTTGAATGGGTGTAGTAGGCATAGGATCACAAAAAACTGTTGAAAGAGGAAGAGTGAAAGACATTCAAATTAAAGGACATGGAGAAAAGTGAGGCCACAATAAAAGTGCTAAGGACAAGAACAGAAGAGCAAAACTGAAACTCTCAAGTGCTGAGAGATTTATCCTGGTATGTAATTTATGCATACTGTACGTGCATTTTTCAGTATGCATGCTGTTGCAGAGCATTTTTCTTCCCGTCTTCCATGGCTCTGGCTTGCAGCAGGAGTTGGAGCTAGTAGATGCTGTCACTGGACAAGTTTTTTGAACTCATTCTGTGGAAGCATTTTCTGTTAGCGGTTGCCAGCAAATCCTGAAGTCATATATCTGCCTGCTAAGGAGCAAAACATGGTTTTGCTGTGCTCAGATTCCAGGATCAAAATCTGAAAATTAATTTGATGCTTATTAGAGTAACAGTGGAACGTTCAAAGAGCTA